TGAAGTGTGGTAATAAGCGGCAGGACTATGGCCGCGGACTGTTCTCCCCTCACGACATCATAGAAGCGATCCGTGGATGGACCCGGCTGTTGACTAGCCTCAATCTCTAGTGAACGGACGAGGCAGGACATGAGCTCTGTAAAGGAGACATGTGGCTCATCGGGTGACGCCGGTCCTTGAGAGGCGACTGCTACACGATCCCGAGGGTAGTATGAATAAGATTGATAGCCACCCCAGTCTGGGAAGGCACCATATCCGTGTATCCTCCAGTCGTCACCCCGGTGTTCGGACGAGTGGCTGCGGTGCCTTGGAGGCGAAGGTGTCTCCACAGGTGGCTCAGTCGGGGACATTGGAGTCGGAGACCATTCCCTCGGTGGGGAGTCTCTAATCTCGCCATCAGAGATAGACTCCCGAAGCGGTTCCTCCGCTTGTTGAGTCGGCACGCTCTCAGGCTGAATGAGAGGCCTGGGGGATCCCAGCGGTGTTACCTGCATAGTAAATTGCAGGGCCGTTCCCGAAGGGGTTGGTACCGTGGCAGCGGATGGCACCAAAAAAACTGACGAACCGGAGCCCCGGTGTTTGGGGAAATCAGGTTTCTTGGTCTTGTGAGTGGGTTTATCTGCCTTCTCCTTCCTCGGAACTTTACGAGCGGAAGGCTTATCCGAACCCGTGTGATTGCACTTCTCCCATTTTTTGGCTGGGGAAGAAGGCGGCACCTGGGCCTCTGCTGGAGTAGCACCTTCAGCTGAAGGACGCTGAGGAGGAGCAGTGGAAGCAGGACACTTCGGAGGAGCGCTCACAGTTGGGGTGGAGCGTGGAGGAAGTGGTGCGGCTGAAGAGGAACCAGGCCGTAAGAGCAGTTGGTCTGATTGCATCAAGGCCTGGTCCCAGAGGAGCTTGTGGAAATGGTTCTCCCTGTTCTTCTGCGCTTGCTTGGTAAAGGCCAAGCAATGGCCACACTTGTTGGTTCTATGCCCCTCACCGAGGCAGAGGAGGCATAGATCATGCGGATCCGCAGGTGACATTTTGGATCCGCATGCGGTGCATTTGCGAAAGGCCGCTCGCTGCGCCATTGCGGAAAAAGAAGAAAAGATGACAGGATAGAGGGTAAGATAATATTTTTGGGTTTTTTTGTTTTTTTTTTTTTTTGAGAAGAAGAAAAAGAGAGGGATATACAAACTTGGAATATAAACTTGGAATATAAGAATTAGTTAAAGAAGGGATAAAGGCAAAAGGAACAGTAAGGACTCAAGTTCTTAGCAAGGACATTAACAGGCACGAGGCACAGCGAACGGTGGTTGCAAAGACTGAACAAAATGGCGGACCCTCCACTCTATTTATACCATGAAGGGGGAGGGGAGTGGAGTTTTCCCGCCAAAAACTGTTAGCTTTTTAATCTTCCGGCCTAGGCACGGTGCAGGCGCAGCACCCCCATGTGTGATGCACAGAGGCCACGATGAAGAAAAGGGAGTGATTGGTCCTAAAATTTCAAGAATCATTGTGCATGTAGAAATAAGTCCTGTTGCTAAAAATGATTTTAGAAGCTTCTCTTCACTTTCTGCTTCATTCCCAACACAGTTATTGAATGCGACTATTCAGTGACTACCACATAGAGACAAAAAGAATCAGTACAATGGTCAGGGCAAAGAAATAGAACGGGGGTGGGGGGGGGGAGGGAAAACATGAGGCTGCTTCTGGAGGATCCAAGAAATCCAAGGGAAATTCAAACCTAGATTAGAAATACTGAAAGACCAGCCAGGGAATACAGAGGTTTATCTAGTCTAGCATCCTGTTCATACAATGGCAATCAGCTGCTCACAGGTAAGGTATGAGCACAACAGCATTCTCCTGCTCATGTTTCCTAGAAACTGGTGTACATAGCCACACTGCCTCTGAAACTGGGATTAGAGGCCACTGACAGAGTTCTCCATGAATTTGCCCAATCCACCTTTAAGTTCATTCAGATTGGTGACTACCACCACATCAAACAGAAATTGATTCTATAAATATGGCCTGTGTGAAGAAGTACTTGCTTTTATCTGGCCTTAAACTCCAACTTCATGGGATGACCCCAGGCTCTTACATTATGGGAGAGGGAGAGAAGTGGCTACCTATTCACCTTCTTCACATCATGCATAATTCTGTGCCTTTCTGTTATGATGGTCCTTTTGAAACCCTTGTGAATCTCTGGAACACAGAGGTGGCCCAGGCAATTGACATGGTGATCCCCGAGCACCTTCTCTGGAGGTACAGCTCATCCAACTCCATGGTATACCTTGGCACTGAAAGAAATGAAGTGAAATAGGAGGTGGCTTGCGTGCAAAAGGTGTACTCACCTTTTTCTAAGCTGAATATTCTCAGCTGTTGTAACCTTTCCTCATAGGGATGTTTCTGCAACCCCTTGATCAGTTGAGTTGCTCCTTTCTTCACTTTTTCCAGTGTAAAATATCCTATTTTAGGTGTGGCAACCAGAACTATATACAATAATCTAAGTGCAGTGGTATCATAAATTTAACGAGGGCAGTATGATATTGACATGTTTATTTTCAGTTCCTTTCCCATTTATGCCTAATATGTAGTTTACCTTTGTTACAGCAGATGGGTCCGCATTTTCATCAAGCCGCCAATCATAACTACAAGATCCTTTTCTTGGTCAGTCACTACTAGCTCAAGTCCCATCAGTCTATACTTGAAGTTGGGATTTTTGGTCTCAAAATGCATTACTTCACATTTGCTTGCATTGAACTACATTTGCTATTTTGATGCCCATTTTCACAATTTGGAGAGATGCCTTTGGAGCTCTTCACAATCTCTTTTAGTTTTAACATACTAATCCCACCAACAAACTCGACCCTCTCTCTGCTCATTCCTATTTCTAAATCATTTATTTAAGTTGCAAAGTATTGATCCTAGTACAGATCCCCGTGGGACTCCACTGCTCATGTCCCTCCATCAGAAGAAATCACCATTTATTCCTATTCTTTGATTTCTATTCTTTAATCAGTTATTGAACCCCTCTCATTCTCTGACTGCTTATGTAGGAGCCACTGGTGATGGGCTTGTTGAAGTCTTGTTGGGAGTCTAAATAAACAATGCCTGCTGGATCACTCCTGCCCCTGTGTGTATTGACATTCTTGAAAATCTCTGAAAGTTTAAAGACAGGACTTACCTTTGCAGAAGCTATGCTGATTCTTTTTCATGGTGGTTTGTCCTTATATATGTTTATGGATTCTGTCTCCACTAATGCTTTCAACTAATATATCTAGAACAGATATTAAGAAAACTAACCTGCAATTTCACAGATGGCCTGTGAATCCTTTTTTATTTTTAAATTGACCATTCTCCAGTTCTGTGGTATGGAGGCTGCTCTTTGGGACATGTTATGTATTTCTGTAAGAAGGTCAGCAATGTCATATTTCAGCTTTTTAAGAACTCTAGGATCAATACCATCTGGGCCTGCTGATTTATTAACTTTCCATTTGTCAATAAGGTTGAGAATTTCTGCTTTTGTCACTACCATCTGCCTTAGTTCCTCCGACTCCTTTCTTGAAAGCATCAGTTCAGGAACAGTTATCCTCAGAGGTCCTGTATTCTCTGCTGTGAAGGCCATTAAAAAGAATTTTAGTTTCTCAGAAAACCTGTTATCCTCCTTTAGTGCTCCTTTAAGTTCATTCTTATCCAATGGTTCAACTACCTCTCTAACTGGTTTCCTACTTCTGGATATATTTAAAGAATTCTTTGTTGTTGTAACAAAGCACTACATTCTCCAAAATGCTTTTTTGTTTCTCTTATTGTTTCATTGCATATCCCTTTTGCAAGTTTGTACTCCTTTTTGTTTTCCGTTTTTGGGAAAATTACATATTCTTAAGAAAGTTTTCTTTCATCTTACAGGTTCCTATGCACTACAAGTTCAACTTCTTGGACTTTGTGCTACCATTCCTAACTTGTGATATACATAGTATCTGATCTTTTATTATTGTGATTTCGAGTAATCTCCCCTTTTTAACTTTTAACCATTCGCCTCAGTTTAGAAAAGTTTCGTCTTTTGAAGTCAAGTGTGACTGTGTTGGACCGCTTCAGAAATTTTTCACATAAATGTATATTAAATTGGATATGACTGCAATTGCTGTTTCCAAAATTTGTATTACCATAATTATTATTATTATTATAACATTTCTATGCCGCCCCTTGCCGAAGCTCGGGGCAGCTTACAACACAATAAAATACAATGCAATATAAAAATAACAATATAAAATTAAAATTAATAATATAAATAAAAAATATAAACGATATAAAAGAAGTTATAAAAGAAAAGTTATAAAAGAAAAGAAGTCGCCTTGGCCAGATAAATAAGTAAATATTGTTAACAATTAAAATGACGTTTAAATAAAAATAATACCTTTATTAAGCCTACTCAAAAGGTCATGTAATTTTGCCCAAGCTTTTGGGTTCTCCAGAAAGATGGTAGGAATAGTAGCAGTAGTGTGCAGGTGGAGGAGGAAACAAATTTGAACTATGGAGTATACATTTGGTTATAATCATAAACTGGAATATGGAAGGGGATAACGATGCCACAAATTATCAGAAGTTGCAAAAGGAAAAAAGAATTTCATACAAGTTAAAGTAATGCTGGAGCTATTAATAGCTAAACTGTCATAGTTTCTCCTGGTGGTCATAGGACTACCAAAAACAAAACAAACAAAAAATGTACTAGAGTAACTGGGACTCTAATGATAAACCATGACATGTGTTGTCTTATAATAGAAGGAAGCAATATCAAAAGTGCAATAGCACCGATCAAGGCCCAAATTAGGAATTTGTACTTTTGACTCTAGCATTTGAATGCATTCAGCAGGTCCATCACTAATTCATTTTCCTTTGTATGAAATGGAATATTATACCACTTCATTCAGTGGAAAACATCAGGTCCACTGAATACTGTATCTATAGTAAAAAGCCTTCAGTTAGTTCCACGTAATGACCACAGACCATGGTTTTTATAAAAAGACAATTTATTTTCAATGTAAAAAAAAACACATTACACAGCATCATTACAACTGTTCAACTCCTTTCTTCCAAAACCTTGCTGAACATGTTTCTTTAAAAGCTTCCAGAGCTGTGCCTAAAACCTCTCTTCAAAACAAAAATATTTCTGATCCTTGAAGTAAGCTACTTTGGAAATGATACCCGATTTAAGTTCCAAGTGTCCTGAATTCCCAACTGTGAGCTGGAAGCATGGAAAGAGACAAATCAGGATTGACAGAAGCCCTTAGAATACTTGACTGTTTATTCCATGATTGCAACTCTTACAAGCACTGCTAAACATCTAACTGAATCCCATACAATTCTTTCTCCACAGAGATACCGGAGAGAGTTAACACAAAACAGGAGTGACAAATGTTTTCTAGAGACAGAAGTTCTACTTTTTAAAAAGAGGAATAATATAAAATTGGCACAATTGGAAGGAGACTGTTGCAATGGTACTATTGAAATAGTTAAATACAGGGGATGAAGCATCAACTCAAATCAAAAGGAAGGCTTTGGGACCTACAAGCCAATTTCATTTTAAAGGGAAATAATTGCCCTATGAACTAGGAAGAGTGGGCAACATGTGGGTCAGGAAGCCTGCTATAAAAGGCAAGGAATTCCTTAACCAAGATAACCCTGAGTTTCTTTCCATAGAGAGAAAATGCCAGCATGCAACAAGTGTTTACGTAGAATTAAACTTTCCTGGGCTCAATTATTCCACAATTATTGCATTAAAATATTTATTCCTCAATGTGAGAGCAGAAAGACACAAGACATAAAACATGCATGAAGTAATTTGTGCTTTAAATAATTGTTTCTTGACTTTTCTTTAAAAAAATCTGAACTTACAAAGTAGAAAAAGCAACTGGAATATTAGATCATAACATAAAATGTTAGGATGTCTGGGATGTTTAGATGGGTGGTATTCCAAATTAAACCATGTAAGCTAACTGGGGCAACACTCAGAATATGAAGTACAATGCAGTTTCTCCAGGAGAAGCCCCTTCAAAGGGCAGGCCATTGTGCTCAGCCACCTCAAACTTTTGGATGGCTCCAACTCTGTTGATTCTACTCACTTTATGAGTTCTCAGATTTCCAGTGAATTCCTACAGCTCTCAAGGTCAACATTCTTTCTGGAACCTCAGTTTGGATATCTCCGAATTAAAGCCTTCAAACTGAGCTATTCTCACAAACTTAACCACATTAGGTAATAGGGGCATGAGCCAGCACCATAATTACTGAAAGGGGACACAAATAATTCAGCAGATACTGCATAGTTTAAAAAAGACAGTTTCCCAGCATGGTTATGGTTTGACACTCCCCCAAGAACATTGCAGATTAGAGTTAACCTTAAGTTTTCGTTCGTGAGCTTGATGTCAAGATGGATTTTTAAGAATTATAAATGGAGTCAATGCAAGCTGAATGGGAAACTATGCACAAACTGGTGATTTGTGCTTATTTTCCATACCTTCAGATGAATATACAAAATGGACCACTTAAACAGGAAATTTTTACACTGGTCTGTCTAAATGCATAACATTCTGCATGCCCCCCCTGTGTACAGTGCCATTCAATTCACATTGATCAATGTACTTGGGCAGATGAACAGCATTTGCTCTTAATCCTCAAGCACAATAGAGAAGGATAGTTATTTGCTTGTTCCTTGAATTTTCAATCTTAGTTTGAGTCAAGTCATGTATGTTTAACAAATGCTTTTTGTAATATACCAATGATCTGACTTCTTATTGCTTAGAAATACTAGCTGCACGGAAAGATGAAGAAGCTTCCTTACAGGGGCACCTCCTTGAATGTGAGAGAAAAAGGGTATATGGAAGACAAGGTCTAGGTCTCTCTATTATAGCAATGAAGAGTCCCATGATTGATAATTTATCATATTCCTACTGAATGGACTTTGTAGTTTGTAGGCCTCGGCATTGTGACGTGCACAAATAATATTCAGGAAAACAGCGTTCTCTTCCACATGAATTTTATCCATTTCATTCATCCTTTCTCATCCTTACCCTGAGTTACAATTACCAATTTCTGCAATGTCAAAATCTAGTTGAAGATCTCATAATATGTTTAACTTTATGCAACCACAAGGTGTGGATTACTTGTTTGCTGGTCTGTGGGGTTCTCTGTTATGGCTCACCTTACTTTCTCACAGTTCACATCACACTATTAGCTGCAATCAGCCAAAGCTTTGCCCCCAATTTAGGGTTGTCCGGATAAGCAGAATTTCTACCTCAATTTTAGACCTTCTGGTCACCAGGTTCTTGGGCCTGTGATCTATATAAGAACATCTAGCAGTCTCCATCCAGTTTCAAGGGATGAAGCATTCATTAGGCAAAAGCAGCCAACATAGTGAATTTGCTAGAACTTCTTGTTGAAATCTTTAGTAACAAGCAGGGCAGAGATATTTAAATACCTCTTACCAGAATAATAGTGGATACTATATGAAGCACAGTGGAAGTGTGGTGGATGGAACTATAGCAGAAGGTGTGCACTGTTGTCTGTTTTCTAAGGGACAGTTTTCAGGGCGCTAAATCAGCGCCATTTTGAAAATACAGGCCTCAGAGACTACAATCCACATTTTAGCTTAGTGTGAATGCCAATTCCATCAATAAGAAAGGGTATTTCTCCATTAGATATGTCTAAATTATGGAAACAACTCCCTTCCTTCTCTAGAGATGTTAACTAGAGGTCAGCTGGTCATAAGGAAGTCAGTTATTTTCTCTGAACTCTTCTATCTTCCTATTCAACACCAAAGAAAAATACTTTATGAATACAAGTTTTGATAGTCGATCTCAGCTAAAGGCCTGTTGGAAGAACACTGTGGAACAGTTTGACTGTGAGAAAAACTATCCCTATAAGAAGTGCCATTGGAAGAAGAGCTAAACGCAGACGAACACAACATGTGCTCTCAATGTGAAACACTGGTAGAAAAAAGAGCAGCTGTAGGCCCAGGACAAGATCAGATGGTTTTGTTGTCAGGGTATTTTGGTTTGACAGACACAAGTCTGAGTAGCCATAGGCTTCCAAAATCCCTTCACTCCCCAAAACGTGTACATCCACCTCTTGGGATCATATTTAGTCCATTTCCATAGACATAAGTCGGCGTCTCTCTCGCCTTGTTTCTTGAACTTCTTTCTTGCAACACCAACGGGAACTGCAGTAACCAATCAGACAGGATAAGAGTCCAATGACTGTGGACAGACCAATGCCAATCAACAGTGGATATTTGAAAGCATTCAGCACTGACAGAAAAAGAGAAGGGGAAAAATGTTATGTATAATCCACAGCGACAGGACAAACATTTCTTTGTTAACTAAAGAGAACAGAGCTATTTCAAATCTAATTGGGTGTAGATAAGAAAAGTAATGCATGTCCTTGTTATCTGTTGAAAACACTGGGCCACTTTGCACAATCAAATAGCTTGTTGTGGCATATGCCAGTGTGTGCAGGCAGCCATTTTCTTTATCAAATGCCTGGCTGTTGTTCTTGTCATATAAACTCAGGCAGTGGAGGCTGTGTGAGGGCTAAACTTGTATAACTCAAGAACAAACTGTGGGTTATGCAAAGGTGGTTTAATCCGTACACAACTTTTACCACCTGGATTTGCACAACATGACAAGTTATTTCCAATATGTTGAATATTCAAATTGTCAGGCATTCATGAACATTGTTATTTTCTTATGTCCAATTGCTTGTTATTTAAATTAACCTGGGAGGTTAGAGATTAATAAAGGACACAGCCCTTTAAAGTTCTCTTGCGTTAAAGAATCTCACTTTTAAGAGATTCTTAAAAGTGTTGATGGAGTTCCAGCTTCCTTCTGAGAAAACACACAATGTTGAATCTGTCAGCTACTCTTATGCATCAGTATCTAAAGCAAGGATCACATTAAAAAACCTTCCAATTGAGCAGCTAAGCAGTCAAATGAATGCAAGTTTCTCTTTCAGTCTAAATATAGGTACAGGTACAGGTTTCCCGTTGACATTAAGTCCAGTCATGTCTGACTCTAAGGGGCGGTGCTCATCTCCGTTTCCTAGCCGAGGGAGCCAGCGTTTGTCCACAGACAGTCTCCGTGGTCATATGGCCAGCATGACTAAACACCGAAGTGCACGGAATGCTGTTACCTGCCCACTGCAGGGGTACCTTTTCATCTACTTGCATTTGGATGCTTTCGAACTGCAAGGCTGGCAGGAGCTCGGACGGAGCAACAGGAACTCACTCCGTTGTGCAGATTCGAACCGGCAACCTTTCAATCAACCAGCTCAGCAGCACAGCAGTTTAAGCCACTGCGCCACCTGCATCCCTTCAGTCTAAATAAGGGCAACTAAATAAGTGAGTCAATTGCCATGAAAGTGAAGCATTAAAACACCACCACTGAAATTCAGCAAAACATCGTGACCTGGAATAAAAATCTCTGTTTTTAGTTTTTAAAATGGTTTTAATTTGATTGTGAGCTGCCTAGAGGTGCTGGGTGCAGTGGGTGGCATGCAAATGTTTTGAATGAATGAATGAATAAATAAATAAAGGCCAAAAATATGCTTCTTGACCCTTTTCCTGAATTCAGTGAGGAAGGAGACCAGTCACAACTCCAAAGGGACTATGTTCCAAAGAGCAATGTGGGAGAAGGTCCTTTCTTGCATCCCTGACAAACAAGGGACTTTCTTGTTGATCTAAATAACCAGGCTGACTCATATTAAGTCCTCCAGATATCTAGCACCTAAGTCAATTACAGTTTTAATTGTTTCAACTGTTAAATACAAGAACTTGAACTAAGCCCAGCAAACACTTAACTACTAGTATGGAGTGGGATGATGTGATCATGGTATGTTGCACTGGTCAGCAGCCTTACTGACCAGTACACAGTATTGTGAAAGAACAATGAATGTGTTTGTAAAGCAGGGCAACTAGTACCATGAAAATTTAAATTGCATACCATTATGTAATTGCATTCTAGTAGTTGTGTCTGCTTTCCACTGGAACATCATTTACTGCTACACAAGAATGACGATCCATACATAACAACAATAATAGCAGAAACTTAAAGACTCAGTGGGTAGACTGATTGCCAACAACAACTGTGGATGCCACAAAGAAGACTGAAGGCACCCTTACCATCCATTTTCACAGTGACAAGTATTGGCTTAGATTTGATTTCCATCTCCCGTTGCCATACACCCGCAGCTGATCGGACCCAGGGAGTTACCAAGCAGTAATGGTTGCCAAAGTCTTGGTCCTCGCAGCCATGAACTCTAAGACGGTATTCCAGGTGACTGATTCTCTCCAAACTGACATCACTGCTCCCATTTCTCCTGGCCTGGGTTACTATCCCATTCCGATCCAATGAAGCTAGAAAAACTGAGTCTCTGTCTATTGCAACTGAGCGCATGGCAAACCAGGCAACATCAAAAGACATGTCATCTGAAAGTGAAAACACAAAAATCAAGATAAGGGTAGCTATCACTAATAACAACACTTAAAAAGTAGCTCTTAAGCAAAGTCAGGGGTTACAGAAATTCCTCTTGCTGTTCACAGAGTTTACGTAACTGCATAGATTTAGCCATATTCAGTAATGTATGGTCTAATTTCTAAGCTATAACCTGAATTCCAAGCTTGTCAGGTTCAGGAAAAATAATTAAGATGATTAGTGTAAGAAGCACAATCTGTAGCAGAGTTCTTGGATGGTCCTACCCAGATACTCTGCTAAAGGGTGACAGAAACGTAAGAGAATTTCAAAGGGCTGTGTACTTTATTAATCTCTAGCTACGATACATTACAATTTACTGAACTCACTACATGATCACACAAGTATGTCCCAAGAACTGTTCTGACATAATCACCCCAATATTTTTGTCCCCATCTTCTCATTGAACAGAAAGTTCCTTTCCCCAAGATCCTGTACATACACACACAGAGACCATATATAGGCCAGACTGTTTCACTAGGCTGGTTTCCTAGCAGGGTCATCCAAGGCAGAAAGGAAAGCTGAGGCACCAAACTAACATGCATTCACCCTCTAATGGCCACACCAGCAGAAGAGAATAGATCTCTTTAATGGGGGTGGAGTAACTTCTGAAGAACAGCTACTAGACAGCAGCAGTAGCTGAATGCAACACTGGTAGGGCAGTGTCTTTCACAGACAATGGCAGTGACATCCAAACTAACTCTGGTTAGTACTGCATAGAAGAAAGCAACGGTAATCTTCTTCTCTATCTTCTTACCTTGAAAATCTTATAAGGAAGCAATCCAAAATGGAACAATAGATAGGGCCAGAAGATGATACCCTGCATTTGAAAGGTACTTAATGAGAGCTACTGGGGAAGAAGAAAGGGAAATTACAAATAGAACTGCCACTAATGATGCAACAAGATCAAAGCCAAAAGGAAAACTTGTGTTTAGCATGCATGGAGGTAAAAGGAAAGTCCAGTGCTGCAGAATACAAACAATAAGAACACGGATCGACTGGAAGTATGAACCAGGGCAAACTGGAAACCATAAAACAAGAAATAGAATAGCTGAACATTACAATACTTCATATGAGTAAACTAAAGTGAGCTGAAATGGGGCATTTTCAGTCAAACACAAAGAAAAAACTCAGAAGAAATGGAGTAGCTCTAATACTAAAGCAAAATGTAGCGCAGTCACTAAAGGGTTACAATGCCAAATCTGACCAAATTATATTAATCAGAATTAGTAGAAAACCTATTGACATAAGCATCATTCAAGTTTATGCTCCAGTTTCAGATGCTGAAAGAGATCATATTGCAAATATATGTTGGTTAATGGAGTGCACCAAAGAATTTCAGAGGAAGATTAGTGTATGCTTTATAGACTTCAGCAAAGCCTTTGACTAAGTGGAGCACAAGAAGTTACAGATGGTCCTAGAAGGAATGTGTGTGCCTCAGCACTTGACCCTCCCATTGTATACCCTGTACTGTGGACAAGAAGCTACTGTAAGGCCAAAACTTGAAGAAACATAATGGTTTCCTATAGGCAAAGGTATCATACAAAGATGTATTTTATCTCCCTATCTCTTCAGTCTGCACACACATATAATAAGAAAAGCTGGATTCGGCTCAGAGGAAACAGGAGTGAATACTGGTAGAAGAGACATCACTAATTTAAGATCCACAGATGATGCCATCTGGCAGAAAGCAACAATAACTTGAAACAACTCCTGATGAAAATGAAAAAAGAAAGTGAAAAGGCAGGACGGCAGCTGAACATTAAGAAAACAAAGATCATGGATACAAAAAACTTATATAATGTTAAGGTCCACATTGAAAAAACTAAAATTGTGAAATATTTTGTCTGCCTTGGCTCAGCTGTAAATTCAAAGGGAGACTACGTCAAGAAATTTGAAGAAGACTGAGACTTCTTCAGTGGCAGCAATGAAAGAACTGGAAAAGATCATCAAGTGTAAGGATGTTTCACTGGACACCACAGCCAATATAATTCATTCCATTGCATTCCTAATCACTATTTAAGGGTGTGAATACTGGGCAGTGAAGAAAACTGACAGGAAGAAAATTGATGCATTTGAAATATGGTTGTTGTAGAGGAGCTTTCTGAATATTCTGAACAGAAAGACAATGAATTGGGTCCTATATCAAATACAACTAGAACTTTTTCTAGAGGTAAAAATGACAAATCTGAGGCTGTCATACTGTGGGTGTATCATGAGAAGGCAAGATTTGCTGGAGAAGACAAATCTGCTAGGGAAAGTCAAAGGCAGAAGAAGAAAAGGAAGACCAAAGATGAGATGGACTGACTCCAAAACGGTCTTCACATCCTTGGATCTAGGAACAGCTGGGTAAGACTGCCATGGATAGGACTTTTTGAACAGCTTTCATTCACAGGGTTACTGTAGGTTAGACATGTTTTGATGGAATATAAGAACAACAACAACAAATTCCATCTGTACCATTTCAGTTTAGCCTATCAGATATTCCTTTTGGCATTGCTATGCTTTTCCAAAAATCATGCAATGTTTTCCTATTCTCTTTATGTGCTTGTAAAGAAGAGCTCAAGCAAATATTTAAAACAAGGTAAACAGGAATGAACACACAACTAGCTTCTTGGAAGCAAAAGCAGAAGCCTCAGATGAACAGCACACCTCTTTGTGGGTGGTCACTGACTGCATGCCCATGCTGGTGGAAGGGCTTTAAGAGTAGTTGCCTCACCAGAGAATTATTAAGAGCACACTGAATGAAGACTACAACTAAACATCTTAATATTGGTATCTTATTTACCTATAATGCTTTAATATTGTTTACTATATTAAAAGACAACTTAACAATATAAAAACAAGGTAATAATAAAATATTCAAAAAAAGAATACCATAACAATTAAACCGATCAGGAAACACTTAGGTGAACAAGAACATTTTCAAGAGGCTTTTAAAACTACCATACTTTCTGCCTCCCAAACCACAAATGGCAGAGTACTCCAAAGGCTGCTGCCACTGAAAAGGCTTCATGTGAGTAATGCCTTCAAGTGTTTCAAGAGAAACTTTCAGGACAGCTAGTCTGGGCTGGCAGTTGCTATGTTGGCCTGGGATGCAGGAGACCTGAATTCTAGCCCTCACTTGACCAGGAAGCTCACTGTGTGACTTTGGATCACTAACCAACTCTCAAGGTTGTGAGGATAAAATGGAACAAACTATCATGTACACTGCCTTGTGCTCCTTGGAGAAAAAGTGACATAACAAACAAGTAAATAATAAATACTTTAAAATTGCATAATGTGTATTATCCTGTTGCAGTCCTTAAAACCACCCTGTCCGGTAAGGCTGGGCAACTTGTACAACCTTGGGTGCTGTGTGTGGCACAGGCTGGACAAGTTGACTGTGCATGTACCAGATTTAGGTTGCTGGGTGACGTTAAAGTGCAGCCCCCCAGCCTCCACATTCCAGCTGAAGATCGTGCAGAGAAGGGAAAGGCGTCATCCTCACGCTCTTCCCACTGACTATGCTAGGAAAGAGGATGCATTGGACTAACTCTCCTTACACACTATTTCCCAGCATAAGCAGATTCTGTGGCCAAACAGGCATGCAAGGGGAAATCATTCCCATTCACACATTTCTCATTCAAATCTGCTGCCACCAGCCCACCAAAGAATTGTTTGGAGAGTTAGCTGGGGCCTAATGCTGAGAAAAGTGAGGTGCATGGAGACAGTCATGTCCATGCATCTGTTGCCTAGCAGAACATAGGGCTCTTCCTGGGTAGCAGAGGCAGTGGCAGGCACATGAGGGTAGAGGCAATCAGGAAAAAACAGGAGGGCTGGGCACCAGTGGGGGTGGGGGCACATGATGGCCTCAGTCTGCTTGATGCCTGCTGCTGCAGCAGTAAAGCAAGTCAGCATTATCCCCAATATTGCAGAAGGGGTTGAGAATGACTCAATGGTTTGCCTAAGACTACTTAGATGGTTCATGAGATCTGAACGCACTTTCCAACTAGCAGAGCAGGCTGTCTGTCACAGTCTATATGGCCTCTACTTGGGTCCCTTCCTCTCAGAAGAACAGTGAAAAAGGAGAGATGATCCCATTTTTTAACCTTTATGGTTTAAACAGCTGGAGACCACTTTACTTGGTAGACCATGTTCTGCCATGTGTCCCCAAGCAGATAATCACCAGAAAGAGCCTTTCCAGAAGATTGCCTGCTGCCATCCTTGTCATGTCTGGCACATTATCCATTCATCCAGACCTTTTAAACAATTCATGTGAGCCTGAGCAGTTTTAAAAATTGTTTTTTTAATCTTGATGTTACTGCAAGTTTTGTTTTTGTTTTTATGCTGCCTTTTATTTTATGCTTATTCTGAATTTAAATTGTTTTCATGTGTATTTATGGTAAGCTTCCCAGATAACTTTTCTCTTTCTATCTGTTACAATTTTATACTGCTTCATGGATCACTACCTTGCCATGGTGAAGGGGCTTGCGTAGCTCAATGAAGCTATGAGCTATGCCGTGCAGGGCCATGGGCAGGTCATAGCAGAGAGCTCTGACAAAATGTGATCCACTGGAGAAGGAAATGGCAACCCACTCCAGTATCTTTGCCATGAAAACCCCATGGACAGTACCAAAAGGCAAAAAGATATGATGCCGGAAGATGAGCCCCTCAGGTTGAAAGGTGTCCAATATGCTACTGGGGAAGAGCAGAGGGCTAGTACTAGTAGTGCCAGAAAGAATGAAGCGACTGGGTCAAAGCCGAAAGGACACTCAGTTGCGGTTGCATCTGGTACTGAAAGGAGAGCCTGATGCTGTAAAAATCTATACTCCATAGGAACCTGAAATGTAAGATCCATGAATCAAGGTAAGCTGGACGTGGTCAAACAAGAGATGACAAGACTGAACATCGACATCTTAGGAATCAGTGAACAAAATGGACAGGAATGGGTGAATTTAATTCAGATGACCATCAG